AGGAACGCAACTCTGCACAGCGAATCGCGGCGCCTCAGACGACTGGGCCACCCGTGCCCCCCACTTTCTATTTAAGCTCATTGTACGTGATCGTGTCTTTATGTGGATATACTCAAACAAATGTGATTTAATCATTTACTTAGCTTTCTTTGTCTATATTTTATTATTTGTTTGCAATTATATATCTACAATGTCATTACCTCATAGTCTTGCCGATGGTCACATCCCATCAGTCAGTCGCGGCTGAAGAGCCTCAACCGTTCACAGTTTCTTGGAGGAACATACAGTTTATGATGTTTATATAATTGTATACTGAACAAAATAGATAGGGATCATGATTATTTTGGGGATGTATGTTATGAAATTGTGCTCAGTTTTCACCACAAACATCCTAAAATGTATTCACGATCCTTAACTTTTTTTCGTTTAGTAATTTTACATATAAAAGGTACGGGAACCGTTTTAACAGCCGATACGTCAGTGAAACCAGGGTCCTGTGCTACAAAGCTGTGTCAGCGCTTTGACTATCGTAAGCCTATGTTAGAGCATGGGAGTTGCGATCATCTTAACGCTAAGATAGCTTTGTGGAACGGGGACCAGGATGTCAAACATGACGAGAAGGGGCGGGTTAGTTTTGTAAACTTAATGGTATAAAACTTCAATTGTGAGAAATCATTAGCTGTCGAGGCCCTGACCTCCAACCTGACCCATGATTGAGGAATTACGACATGTACTTACTGTACCCTCAAGGCAATCTTCAGCTGACCAGAGTAGGGTCATGTGACAAAATGGATTCCACTTGTTTGCAAAGACATTTAAACACGGGTCTGGGTTCAGAATTAAGTCAAGCTAACATTGAATGTAGGCATAGAGGGTATACTGACCAACAAGAATACTGTGGATGTGTTCAGGACATTAGTCGCGGCTGTGACGTGGAGAGTCGTGTTCGTCGGCGGTTGTCTCAACTGTACACTCACTCATTGTCTCTGACTTCACTGGTTTTCCCTCATCGTGCCAAACATTAAACATATTTTATAGATTCATAGTGCATCTTGTTTTTAATTCAGAACTCGGCGTTACGTGGTACGCAATATTGTTTGTCTGTTGTTTAACGTCGCACTCAGCAATATCCCAGCTATATGACGGCGGTCTGTAAATAATCGAGTCTGGACCAGATATTCCAGTGATTGACATCATGAGCATCGATCTACACAACTGGGATTCAACGACATGCATCAACCACGTCAGCGAGCCTGACCACCCGATCCCATTATTCGCCTCTTGCGACAAGCTAGGCTACTGAAGACCAATTCTAACCCGGAATCTTCACGGGACTGTTGTACATGGAACGAGACCCGAACGTTACTGGCTGTATATACGTCGTGTGCACCCCATGACATGACCTTCTTTAGACTATTAACTTAATGGAGTGTTTACTGCATTCTGATTGGATAAAAACATTAAATAGGATTGGAACCCGGATATCACATGCGCATGAATATCATTTTAACACTATCCAGAATTTGAAAAAAGTGGTATTCTGCTTGGCAAAATGATACCCGAATAATTATATGTTAAGTTTGATCAATATATATCAGAACAACTTTAACTCAGTTGTTTTTCTCCACATTCAGGCGAATTCAGTTGTACGGAGTATTATTCATCTCACAATTGTGGAACGTCATTCGCTGGTCGTGGTTCGAACCAACAGGCAGAACCATACATGTGGTCCTGGACGTAAGGACAAGTGTCGCCTCCATCACTTACATCTAGGATTTTCCTCCACGACCTGATATAACTAAAAAAAAGAAGTAAACCACCATCCTCTCACTCACTCTGGCCTCTCTACAGACGCACAACAGAAGCAGGGACAACAGAATGACGTGTGGCAATGGTACTGTTTATTGACAGGTGGAGGTATGGAAGCTCCATTCACTGACCACTGACCCGTGGAATGCCAGACCTTATTGGATAACTACCAGTACATTAAAAACAAGTCACAATTTATATTGGTTCAGACAATAATGATACATATGTGGTCGGAATGGAATAATTTTTCAGTTGTGAAAATATGCTTTTTTTTAATTGCTAGTCAATGTTATTCAATTTGTTTTCATGAACCTAAAGCTAAAACAACTTGGTGCCCACGACATTCCACTTGGAACTGTCCTGCTTTCTTTGAGGCATCCCAAATATATATGAAGAAACCTGGATATGTCTCAACTATCCAGGTTGGTAAGGTGACAGGAGTTATCTCCCTTCTTATTAAAGGTTCACTCCAGTGGACCACTCTAAAAGTTGTCCGTCGCCCATACACTGGAGAATAAACTGAATCCAACTCAAACCTAGAATGATTTGGAAAGTCGTTTGCCTGAAACAATGCACTGTTCTGTGATCCATTTGGATTTTATTTTGTAGATATATTGTTTGAAAAAAGATTACTTTATTTCTGGGACTAATTGTTCTTCTACTCCACAAACACACATCCTTTTGTCATGGCCGACATGGATGAAACAAGACTGGCACCTAGGGTCTATCTAACCACCCTATCTTCCCACCTCACCCATCCTTTACACTGTCTGACAGCTGTCAACGACAACAGATCACAACAACTTGCATGTAAAACATGAATATTATTTTTGAAAACAGTAGTTAGGAAGGTTGACGGCACACAAAATACAATGCAATATCCTTTCACTGTTCATGCATATTTGGTCCTAAATATGTTCTTTCTCTAGTATATACACTGAAATCAAAACCGATACTATTGCAAAAACAATTTGGCCTTTACTGATATAGAGTATCTTTTGATTTATATGAGTAATATAGAAGACATGACATTCATCAATGAGGCAGACCATACCTACTGTAATGCACAACTTTACAATTATGAATAACTGAAAATGACTTCTTCAAGCTAGCTACGCTGTCAACCTGAGACCATGTATGTACCATGGTGTATATGGCCTCTGCTTTATGTAACAAGATTGGGCACCCATCTATGACAGCGCTCACGCAAGCATATATTCTCCAAAGTTCAATATGATATTATTTTAAAATATTCTTGCAAGTTATATCTAATTTTTACAGCAACTTTTCAGGATGTAGTGACTTGCTGCAGTCACATTAATGCTGTAATGAAAGCTTGGAAAAAGAATGAAATATGAAGAAGCTTAGAAGTCAATCCTACCCCATTTCCTCACCATGTTATTAAACGTGGCGTGGAAGGGCCCATTTTGTTGGTTGGCAATGTCTACAAGGGTAATGACCCATAACACAGATTGAACCCTATTGTCAAGGTCATTATCAACCAATAAAGTAGGACCCTTACATCCCACACGACTGAGAAAAGGGACATGATTGGCATAATTACATAGTGACTTCTCAAAAGTGACCTGCATAATACTAGCAGTATACCACCAATATGACTGCAGAGGTCACTCATGACAACAGGTTTACATATGGTACCCACGTTGGGAACAAAAGACCTGACCAGGCTACCCTCCTGGTTTGTCGGATACATTATGACTGACAGATGCAGAGTACACGAAACAGACATTTTGCCAAACTGTGATCACATTTCATAACAAATGGCAGACATGATTTTGTGAGCACATAATTTAGACATGCTGAAATTTTCTTGGTGTCCAGAAAATTTGAGTTGACAGTTTGTTTGTGGAATTGATAAAATCACTTCTAGGGAAGAGTGTTGTTTACATCAAAAGTAATTTTCACAAACCGATGTCCTTCCTAATGTGACACAAAAAAATAAGTATCTATGCTATATAACATATATGAATAAGTGTGTATATATATGATCTGTGACATCACAAGCTGAGGCAGATGTACAACAATGTCGGACACATAATCTGGACGGAATGTCAAACATCAGAATATAAACATAAATATGTAACCAGAAAATAATAAATAGATGACTATGATTTTGAAAATAGTGATAATCTGACAAAATCTGAAACATAAATATGTGTTTTTATCACAATTTTCTATGAAAGATGTACAATTTGTTGAAATTTGATAACTTCAGCATACTATTACATATTAACAATAAATCTGTTTTGATAGTATTAACATGCATCATATACACTATTGTTCTATTTCATAAATAAACAGTGTAATAACAAAGATATATGGAAAGTGTCTCTGATAATCTTGCATAAAAATATCACAGTTTAAATGAAATCTCTCTGGACCCTTGCTGAAAATGAAACAGTCAAGGGGGGATAACTCTTCAAGGCATGAAATTAACTCCCCTTGATTATTACTGATGCTGAGTGGCTGCGACTGAACGAGTATTCCGGTCAATTGATCAATCTGATGCAAAGTCTGATCAATGTGTAACAAAAACTTTATTGAATTGTAAGGATAGTTTTTGAAGTGACTTTAATTGTATTTTTGAAAAACGTGCATCAGACACAACTGCATCAGTTGTAATCAACTTGCTGTGATTCAAGTGGAAATTCACATCAATCAGTCACTACCCAAAGTGAGATGTAACGATCACAATCAGTTAAAGATGGATGTGAGAACTCCTTCTAACGAAATCGATACTGAGAGTAGATCACCTTGTCATTATACGGCCACCAGTTTGAGCCACCGCTCTAGTTTTTATTCATTGCTTGTAAGGATGGGGGCTAAGCTAAAATCAGATATTACATTATTACAATGTTTATATCAATATCAGATTACACTATTCAAGTTCATCAATGGAAGTGACTTCATGAGAATGTGTTACTATCTTGGTCATAGTTTCCATGTTTGGCAATTGCTAAAGCTATGTCTCAAATGTCTTGATAGTCAACAACCCTCACAGCAACACTGATAATTCTGGAAGTTCACCCATGGAGGGAGTGTTCCATGATAATAGAAACCTAGCCGTGGAGTCAACACCTGGTTGTCATCAGGAGGGACTATTACTGTCATATCAAGCCTGTCCATGGTAGCTGACACAGCATCTGTCTTGGAAGCTTGGCGTGAACAGTGTCAATGTGCGTGGCGACGTCGTGCCTACACCAGCACCACCATCTTCCTGATCTGCGACAACTCCTTCCTCAGCTGGTCCTCCAACAGTTTCCGCCTCCCCTCCATCACAGTCTTCATGTTGCTGATGCTCTCGTGGACGGTGGAAAACCCCTCCCGGCACTCACGCTTCAACTTGGCCAGTTCCTCACTCAGGCGCCGGATGTCAGCCTCGATACGCGCCAACAGCTTACTCTCGATGTGCTGCAGGAAATTAGGAATTTTTTCATCATAACAGCTTGTTTTTGATTGTTTTTGGTGTCTTGGTGTGGGCTTAAAGGGCTGGTGTTGGTGTCTTGGTGTGGGGTTAAGGGGCTGGTGTTGGTGTCTTGGTGTGGGGTTAAGGGGGTGGTGTTGGTGTCTTGGTGTGGGGTTAAGGGGCTGGTGTTGGTGTCTTGGTGTGGGGTTAAGGGGCTGGTGTTGGTGTCTTGGTGTGGGGTTAAGGGGCTGGTGTTGGTGTCTTGGTGTGGGCTTAAAGGGCTGGTGTTGGTGTCTTGGTGTGGGGTTAAGGGGCTGGTGTTGGTGTCTTGGTGTGGGGTTAAGGGGCTGGTGTTGGTGTCTTGGTGTGGGGTTAAGGGGCTGGTGTTGGTGTCTTGGTGTGGGCTTAAAGGGCTGGTGTTGGTGTCTTGGTGTGGGGTTAAGGGGCTGGTGTTGGTGTCTTGGTGTGGGGTTAAGGGGCCGGTGTTGGTGTCTTGGTGTGGGGTTAAGGGGCCGGTGTTGGTGTCTTGGTGTGGGGTTAAGGGGCCGGTGTTGGTGTCTTGGTGTGGGGTTAAGGGGCCGGTGTTGGTGTCTTGGTGTGGGGTTAAGGGGCTGGTGTTGGTGTCTTGGTGTGGGGTTAAGGGGCTGGTGTTGGTGTCTTGGTGTGGGATAAAGGGGCCAGTGTTGGTGTCTTGGTGTGGGGTTAAGGGGCCAGTGTTGGTGTCTCAGTGTGGGGTTAAGGTTGCCGGTGTACTCACAGACTGCAGATCAGTGTAGTGGGAGCGATCTTCCATCAGAGCATCCTCCAGCTTCTGGATGCGTACCTCCAGCATGTACATATTGTCGTCAATCTTCTTGTCGATCTTCTCCTGCAGAGCAACGATCAACAAGGTTAGTAGGTGAAGCTAGGTGGAGATGATAAAGCATTGTACATACTTAATGAACTGTGGTAAGGTGCAGGTTTATCAGGACAAAACATGACATCCATAGAATGGTATCAAGTATGCTGTTCCAGTTGTAAGACTGCAGATGACGACAAAGACAACAAGGCTCTCAACTCACAATCATGAGGTCCCTTGTGCCACCGGCCTTCTCGATCAGGCTGATTATCCTCTGTTCCATGCGTTCCCTTTCACCCTCGGCTGATGCCGCGACGGATGTGATGGTGTTCTTCAAGTCTTCAATCATTTGTCGAGTTTTACTGTCCAACATGGAGAGGTTATTGTTTGTGTCCCCCTCCAAGTGCTGAAACTTGATCCGACTCTCGCCTGTCACCTTCTCCATTGCGTTCGTCATGGACACCAACTGCAGGAAGAAGGGTCAAGGTCAATGTCCAGCTTGCAGGGCTGCTTCTCCCAACCCCTTATTGTTTGAACAAATAACAAGCATGAAATACTCTTATCCCTCGTCAATGTGACATGTCCTGTTGTGTGGAGCACTACTGACACTTTCTCTCTAAGTCAAAGTCGTTGCTATGGAAACTCGAAAAAATTTTTTTTTTTAAATCCTAAACTATCGAAAGGCACAAGTTCACCACCAGGCCTATCTATGTGCCAAGTTTGGTTAAGATATCTCATGGTTTTTGAGTTCTGCTCCTGAAACGTTACGGTCAGACAGACGGACGGACAGAAGGATGGACGGACAGCACCCATTCCTATATCCCCCTTCTACTTTGTGGTGGGGGGAAATAATGTGTACTTTTATGGCATACCAGTCTGCAATTTAAACCACCAGTCAATTTGTTTTGTTCTAGTAGGCTCAGATAATAATTGCCCCCAAAATAGAAGTTTGCCTAAAAGCCATGTTTGGGCTAGCAGATTGGCTAATGTGGTCCACAGATGTTGGAATATGTACTGAATGGATGTTGGTGAATATCACACCAGTAACTAAATCATTGAAAAAGATGTCACGAGACAAGTTTGGGCTTGACAGACAACTGACTGACCTGTGACTCTATCCCATGCATGCGCTCCATCAGGCGTGACTGCAGCTCCTGCTGTTGACCCGACAACACACGGATGGAATCGAAGGACGTGCGCATGTCCACACTCAGTTTGGCGATGGCGGTATCACAGCGGACAATACGACCTCGGAGGTCTGACAAACTGGTGACATGATGCATCTCGATGCTCTTGACGGCATTGTTTGTCCCCAATGCTGCAGAATCTCTGGCTTTGATGTTCTCTTCTAAAACCTAAAACAGGAAAACAACTCCTTACAAGTTGATGGATAGGTGAGGTGAAATGGGGTTTAACACTGTGTTCAAGATTATTGCATTTACATAGAGACATCCATGCATCTGTGTGTGTGTGTGTGTGTGTGTGTGTGTGTGTGTGTGTGTGTGTGTGTGTGTGTGTGTGTGTGTGTGTGTGTGTGTGTGTGTGTGTGTGTATGTGTGTGTGTGTGGCTGCTTTGTACTAGTCCAGACTGATGATAATTTTTACCGTGCTAGCCAGCTGAGATACCATGCCGTTATCCAGACAGGGTAACGACAAGTACCATATTTTAACGTATGACGAAGCCAGGGATTAAACCCTGGATGCTGTGGGTAGACGCTCTACCACTAGACCACAGAAGCGGTCAGTCGACGGGTAGGCTGTTTTATAGGTGCATTATAGAGGGTCTGTTTGGTGTGGAAGGGGCGCCAAGAATACTGTTTTGTCTTGTGTTATCCAAATACTCTCTCCCAACATGTTGCAATACCCTATAACAAGTTTAATCTACATACAAGCTCAAAATGTCTGGCAGCAAACAACAAGATTTATTTGCACTGCATTTGGATATTGTGCTTGGTAGCTGTCAGTGTTTAGCAATGTGGGTAGCTTCCAAGCCAGGTCAGTACAACGTGGCTGGAATACTGCCAAGGCCTGTTAGCCGAGTGTTTTGTTGGAGGGTATATACAGGACTTACTCAAGTCTCTACACTCACATAACCCTGAGATATACTATGTGACATGATTACAGGGCTTACTGGCTGTGACATCTGTAGAAGGTTCCGACACACCAGGTACAACATACTACAGGTGGTCACCTCTGTAGCAGGCACCTACACCACATACTGTAGGTGGTCACATCTGTAGCAGGCACCTACACCACATACTGTAGGTGGTCACATCTGTAGCAGGCACCTACACCACATACTACAGGTGGTCACATCTGTAGCAGGCACCTACACCACATACTGTAGGTGGTCCCATCTGTAGCAGGCACCTACACAACATACTACAGGTGGTCCCATCTGTAGCAGGCACCTACACCACATACTACAGGTGGTCACCTCTGTAACAGGCACCTACACCACATACTACAGTTGGTCCCATCTGTAGCAGGCACCTACACCACATACTACAGGTGGTCACCTCTGTAACAGGCACCTACACCACATACTACAGGTGGTCACATCTGTAGCAGGCACCTACACCACATACTACAGGTGGTCACATCTGTAGCAGGCACCTTCACCACATTCTACAGGTGGTCACATCTGTAGCAGGCACCTACACCACATACTACAGGTGGTCACATCTGTAGCAGGCACCTACACCACATACTACGGGTGGTCACATCTGTAGCAGGCACCTTCACCACATACTGTAGGTGGTCACATCTGTAGCAGGCACCTACACCACATACTACAGTTGGTCACGTCTGTAGCAGGCACCTACACCACATACTACAGGTGGTCACATCTGTAGCAGGCACCTTCACCACATACTACAGGTGGTCACATCTGTAGCAGGCACCTACACCACATACTACAGTTGGTCACATCTGTAGCAGGCACCTACACCACATACTACAGGTGGTCACATCTGTAGCATGCACCTACACCACATACTACAGGTGGTCACATCTGTAGCAGGCACCTACACCACATACTACGGGTGGTCACATCTGTAGCAGGCACCTTCACCACATACTACGGGTGGTCACATCTGTAGCAGGCACCTACACCACATACTACAGTTGGTCACATCTGTAGCAGGCACCTACACCACATACTACGGGTGGTCACATCTGTAGCAGGCACCTACACCACATACTACAGGTGGTCACATCTGTAGCAAGCACCTACACCACATACTACAGTTGGTCACATCTGTAGCAGGCACCTACACCACATACTACAGTTGGTCACATCTGTAGCAGGCACCTACACCACATACTACAGGTGGTCACATCTGTAGCATGCACCTACACCACATACTACAGGTGGTCACATCTGTAGCAGGCACCTACACCACATACTACGGGTGGTCACATCTGTAGCAGGCACCTTCACCACATACTACGGGTGGTCACATCTGTAGCAGGTACCTACACCACATACTACAGTTGGTCACATCTGTAGCAGGCACCTACACCACATACTACGGGTGGTCACATCTGTAGCAGGCACCTACACCACATACTACAGGTGGTCACATCTGTAGCAAGCACCTACACCACATACTACAGTTGGTCACATCTGTAGCAGGCACCTACACCACATACTACAGGTGGTCACATCTGTAGCAGGCACCTACACCACATACTACAGGTGGTCACATCTGTAGCAGGCACCTACACCACATACTATGGGTGGTCACCTCTGTAGCAGGCACCTACACCACATACTACAGGTGGTCACCTCTATAGCAGGCACCTACACCACATACTACAGGTGGTCACATCTGTAGCAGGCACCTACACCACATACTACGGGTGGTGACATCTGTAGCAGGCACCTACACCACATACTACAGGTGGTCACATCTGTAGCAGGCACCTACACCACATACTTATGGTGGTCACACGTCAAGACATACTGAGAGAGTGAACTACAAACACAATGTCACACTGGCAATATGTCCGCCATATAGTGACAACCTTCAACTACAGCAGGAAGTACAGGTATTACTGCTATACAGGACTATACTGATGAAATGAAATAAGGGAACATTGCAGATCACAAAACACAACATGTAATCTGAACAACTAAAGAAACGTAAATAATAAAACTTGCTTTGCTCTGTATACATGTTTCATATCAACAAAACAATAACTGATTGCAAAGTTTGTATCTAGTGTCTTCGCAACATTGCCAAACAATTTGATTACTTTTTTCGAACATTCAACATGTCATGCTAAAAATGTTTCTGTAACTTTTTCTGTAATTTCCAGCAGTATTTATGTGAAGGGTTGGTGAACAAGGTGGTGAACATTTAGTGGCCATATTCCATGAGTGAGTTAATGGACACATATCGCCAGCCAGCGTTTGAAACACAAAAAGCGGGCTACCATCAGGACTCACAGACTTCTGAAGCTGCAAGCCCTGACTAAACTCTTCAGGCCCTCATTTAAAATCTACAGATTTATGTGACATAACTTTACTTTACCATAAGGACCCACACCAAGATCTACATGCCACAGACCTATGAGCAGGCACTTATTTCGAAACACGAATACGTACATACACCCGAAACACAAGTGTAAAACTTGTACCGACACCCTGGGCAAGTGACTTCGTTCAAATGTGCCTCTGTTCACCAAGCAGCGAATGGGTACCCGATATGCGAGGTGGATGTAAAAACCTTCTAGCGCCCCTAGGCAGCTTGGGTTGTATACTCCCCAGGGAGTTGAGAATGATAACTGGAATGCAAACTGATCCACTGTTCAGAAAACAAATAAAACCGCATTTTTGCAGATACTAGTCCCTGGATACCTGTGTAAATAATGTACAATATGAAAATAATTTTGAACATTGTTAAACCAGCTTGTACTCACTGCTATATCATGGTTTAGCCTGTTGACCACAGAGGTGATGTTTCGAATGTGATCCTGCAGATGTCCCCGAGCATTCTTCTCATCCTGCCACGTTCCCTGACTAAAGTTCAGACTCTCAATGACATCCTCCTTGATCTTAAATGCCCGCTCGATGAGTCCCTGAGTGTTGCGTTCCTGCTGTGCCAGCCTCTCTTCCAACATGTCCAGGTGGTGATGGGAAGGGCTATTGTCGTAGCGCACAATCTCCGTGGGGACACTCTGGACAGCCTGAGCAGGCTGCATCACCTGCACCGCGGGCTGCATCACCTGCACTGGCTGCTGCATATACTGCTGTTCATCCACAATCTGGGGGAGGGCTTGCATGGTGCGGGGGGACGCCATCCCCCCCACGCTGATGGCCGTGTACTCCTGATTGGTGTCATAGGGGGCGCGGATATACGGCAACCTGCGCTTTGTGGTCGTCAGACTCATCGGGGAGGCTCTGTGGAATAACAGATATGGTATAACTTCAAAGCCACCAAAATGAGATTGTTTAGAACATGGCTAGACTTGGTATCTAACCAAACCAAATTTTGTATTCTTGGGAAATTTTGTAAAAAACACTCACTAATTACAACTGATTACAGGCCTTTTCGAATTTTTAGCCAGTTGATGACAGCTCACCTGAAAATGATCTGTATATATTGAAATTGATATGCAAACACGTACACCTCATTGAACATTATTAACGTTTTATCATGGCGTGTCAGCGGTTGCTTGCTGCCGTGTCAGGTGGAGGTAAGGTGGAAGTGATGCAGGTCTTAGATTTTTGTGAAACCCACAAGCACGGGTAAAGCTGCCAAACCAATAAACGATAAGGATGAATTTGGGAGTCAACCCCATGATCATAGGCTTCTGACACGCTTAAGGGAGGCAACTCCACATACTTTAGGTGCAAGGTATGTATGTTAGTTTTTATTTGTTTGTTTGTTGTTTAATGCCGCACTCAGCAATATTCCAGCTATATGACGGTGGTCTGTAAATAATCAAGTCTGGACCAGACAATCCAGTGATTGACATCATGAGCATTGATCCATGCAATTGGGATGGATACGATGACATACATCAACCAAGTCAGTGAGCCTAACCACCGGATTGTGTGTTAGTCTTGTGAGTGTTATTGAGGATTTCATAATGCAGTCAAATTGAAATGTTAAAATTCTCGGGCATTACATAGTCAACAAGAAAATAGTGTTATCATTGTCACCAGCCACGGTGCACATTAGAATTTTGTTTGTTCATATAGCAGTGAATCTACATGGAGAAAGGGAGGGTGCTGGTAACTTCAGACAAAATAATAATATGGCATCAATTTTCTAACGGAGTCTTGACAAGTTCACTTCACCACTTGGTAAATGGCCTAATCGCAAATACTAATTTTTTTAGTAAAGCCACTGCAAGGGGGTAGGCTGGTTTGGCGCCACTTGTAAATTGTGGTTTGTGGTTTTTTTTCACAATACTTCACAATATATCTTGTACAAGTTCCTTTGTCAAGTGGTATACATCTCAATTAGATAATTCTGGTAACCATTCTCAGACAACCCTGTGTAGATCTTTTTGTAGAAAATCCAAAATAGCATGACAATTACAGTACTCTCTTAACATGGGTATCAAGTTTCATGGAAAATATGCAAAAAAAAAAGGTATGGATATATGATCCAGAAAGGAACACTACAACCCATCTGGTTATAAGTTAGACTCTGGTAATGAAAGTAACCTGCATTTTGGTTAAGTCCAACAAGTTGCCATGGAAACAGGAAAATGCATCAGTTCAGCATGTGTTTGATGCCTACGCAAAGTTTCATAATAAAATATTAAATTTTTGTGTGTCATGATCCAGAGACGAATGTTATGTGTATATGAGTCTGGTTTGTTACCATGGAAACACCAAAAATATATTTTGTAGAAATACAAAAACATCAAAAGGCACCTGTTCAGCATGTGTTTGATACATATGCAAAGTCTCATAATAAGATATTACACTGTTTTGGAGTTGTGCTCCGTAAACGAAATGTGACAGACGGATGGACGGACGGACAGCACACCACCCATTCCTTCATCCCCCCTCCCCCTCAGTAGTGGATAATAATTCCTGCAAACCCAGAAGAACATCTTGTGCATCTTCTATCTGCAATCATCGTAACATTCCCATTTCTCAAAACAAAAACAGAAATATTATGTCACACAACTCTGCAAGGCAATTCAAGTAAGATGATGAAGTGTTTTAATTAATTTGTTCCACCTACGGAAGCTCTACGTGGAGCATTTCACACCTTTTTCTATGTGTTTCAGGTTGCCTGGCAAAGTCATCTGGCATTTGAAGCCATCCCACCACTGACATTTGACAGTCTAATTTCACATTTCATCTGAAACAACTGTCACTAGAATAATTTTTGTAAATAAATACCAATTTGATTTCCCTACCGGTATATATTTTCTGAAATATTTCTGCTGTACTACATCCATAACAGTGGTCATCAGAAACAATGACACGGAAGTATCACCAAATGCCTATAACGTCGCCTCGAAACATATAATCACACAACTTCATTCCTTGGTTTCCAACACTGCACACTTGATCAAAGAACAAAGATTTCAACAATTCCAAACAACTGATATCTCACCTTCTCACCAGCAGTATGTCAGAGTATTCTAGCCAGTACCTGGCCAAGCCCCATGTATATTAGACAGCCCTCGGCGCCATCAGGTAATTAGACGAAGGTGATTTAGAATGTGTGATCGTGTGTGAGTGTGTGCAGGCATTGCTGAGCAACACCAACCGTAACAGCCATTTGAATGCAGTGCACACCACAGCGTTGCCTGATTACAGCAGGCTGGGAGCAGTATGTGCAACACGCAATGCCTGGCAGCTCCGATACCAGATCTTGCTCCTCACACAATCACAAGATACAGAAGTAAAGAATGAAAGAATGTTTTGGTTTCAATCATTCAAGAATGTAGAATAAGTTGTATAAAGAGACTATTAAGGAATTAATCATGAACTATCACTGGATTCTTGGTCCATTTATTTTGGGTTGTGTGATGATACACTGCAATTGCTAGTTTATGATTTAATGACGGAAGACAAATTGTCTTCTGACAATCACACAGTCCATATAAGATTATAAGCATTTCAAACAGCCCAACACAAAACAAATCCTGCACAGTATTTTGTATCAATATGTTACTTTATCTATAGTACTGTTTCAACCCAAGGTACTGCTTTAACACAAGGTACTGCTTTAACACATGGTACTGCTTTAACCCTAGGTACTGCTTTAACACAAGGTACTGCTTTAACACAAGGTACTGCTTTAACACAAGGTACTGCTTTAACACATGGTACTGCTTTAACCCTAGGTACTGCTTTAACACAAGGTACTGCTTTAACACAAGGTATTGTTTTAACCTAGGGTACTGCTTTAACACATGGTACTGCTTTAACCCAAGGTACTGCTTCAACACATGGTACTGTTTTAACACAAGGTACTGCTTTAACACATGGTACTGCTTTAACCCTAGGTACTGCTTTAACCCAAGGTACTGCTTCAACACAAGGTATTGTTTTAACCTAGGGTACTGCTTTAACACATGGTACTGCTTTAACCCAAGGTATTGTTTTAACACAAGGTACTGTTTCAACCCAAGGTACTGTTTCAACCCAAGGTACTGCTTTAACACAAGGTATTGTTTTAACCCAGGGTACTGCTTTAACATAAGGTATTGTTTTAACACAAGGTACTGCTTTAACACAAGGTATTGTTTCAACCTAGGGTACTGCTTTAACACAAGGTATTGTTTTAACACAAGGTACTGCTTTAACACAAGGTATTGTTTTAACCCAAGGTACTGCTTTAACACAAGGTATTGTTTTAACACAAGGTACTGCTTTAACACAAGGTATTGTTTTAACACAAGGTACTGCTTTAACACAAGGTATTGTTTCAACCCAAGGTACTGCTTTAACACAAAGTATTCTTTTAACCCAGGGTACTGCTTTAACACAAGGTATTGTTTTAACACAAGGTACTGCTTTAACACAAGGTATTGTTTCAACCCAAGGTACTGCTTTAACACAAAGTATTCTTTCAACCTAGGGTACTGCTTTAACACAAGGTATTGTTTCAACCCAAGGTACTGCTTTAACACAAGGTATTTTTTTAACCCAAGGTACTGCTTTAACACAAGGTATTGTTTTAACACAAGGTACTGCTTTAACACAAGGTATTGTTTCAACCCAAGGTACTGCTTTAACCCAAAGTATTCTTTTAACCCAGGGTACTGCTTTAACACAAGGTATTGTTTTAACCCAAGGTACTGCTTTAACACAAGGTATTGTTTTAACACAAGGTACTGCTTTAACACAAGGTATTGTTTTAACCCAAGGTACTGCTTTAACATAGGGTATTGATTTATCTTGGGGCACTGCTTTAACACAAGGTATTGTTTTAACCCAAGGAACTGCTTTAACACAAGGTATTCTTTTAACCCAGGGTACTGCTTTAACACAAAGAATTGTTTTAACCCAAGGTACTGCTTTAACATAAGGTATTGTTTTAACCCAAGGTACTGCTTTAACATAGGGTATTGATTTATCTTGGGGCACTGCTTTAACACAAGGTATTGTTTTAACCCAAGGAACTGCTTTAACACAAGGTATTCTTTTAACCCAGGGTACTGCTTTAACACAAAGAATTGTTTTAACCCAAGGTACTGCTTTAACACAAGGTATTGTTTTAACCCTTGGAACTGCTTTAACACAAAGTATTGTTTTAACCCAAGGTACTGCTTTAACACAAGGTATTGTTTCAACCCAGGGTACTGCTTTAACACAAGGTATTGTTTTAACCCAAGGTACTGCTTCAACACAAGGTATTGTTTTAACACAAGGTACTGCTTTAACACAAGGTATTGTTTTAACACAAGGTACTGCTTTAACACAAGGTATTGTTTTAACCCAAGGTACTGCTTTAACACAAGGTATTGTTTTAACACAAGGTACTGCTTTAACACAAGGTATTGTTTCAACCTAGGGTACTGCTTTAACAAAAGGTATTGTTTTAACCCAAGGTACTGCTTTAACACAAGGTATTGTTTTAACCCAAGGTACTGCTTTAACATAGGGTATTGATTTAACCCAAGGTACTGCTTTAACACAAGGTATTGTTTTAACCCAAGGTACTGCTTTAACACAAGGTATTGTTTCAACCTAGGGTACTGCTTTAACACAAGGTATTGTTTCAACCCAAGGTACTGCTTTAACACAAGGCATTGTTTTAACCCAAGGTACTGCTTTAACATAAGGTATTGTTTTAACACAAGGTACTGCTTTAACACAAGGTATTGTTTCAACCCAAGGTACTGCTTTAACAAAAGGTATTGTTTTAACCCAAGGTACTGCTTTAACACAAGGTATTGTTTCAACCTAGGGTACTGCTTTAACACAAGGTATTGTTTCAACCCAAGGTACTGCTTTAACACAAGGCATTGTTTTAACCCAAGGTACTGCTTTAACACAAGGTATTGTTTCAACCCAAGGTACTGCTTTAACACAAGGTATTGTTTCAACCCAGGGTACTGCTTTAACACAAGGTACTGTTTTAACACAAGGTACTGTTTTAACCCAAGGTACTGCTTTAACACAAGGTATTGTTTTAACAATTGATTATTGTTTTAATCTTTCATTACAAAATTCCTTGATATCCCCCACCCTTTTAAACGTTATGTTATCATCAGAAGGACTAGTGGACTAAAATTGTTAATTTCTATTGCTGTGTTTGTCAATTAATTTCACGCTAAATAATATCCCAGCTATATCATAGTGGCTTGAAAATAATTGACTCTGGTCCAGACAATCCAGTGATTGATATTCACACAACGTCGGAAGCTGAGAGGATATTATCTTCCAACAAGAAAACCCATCAGGGTTGTATGATACCCGATGGCAATACAAGGTTTTGAAGAAGTATTAAACAGTTTATGAATTATACTCCTGAAATGATGCCTTGGCAATGCAAAAATAAATAATTCAAAAATTCAAAAATTGTACCAGCAAAAAGTCATGCCTGGTGTGTATACAAAGTTTCCTTCCCACTTGATTGCTACAGTGTTGCTTATCTGGCCGACCACTCATTCCCAACACTGGCTGGGGCCCAATGTGGCTCAATTGCTGGGAGTGATTAATCTAGGATATTATCAATTATTGATGTTTGGCTGGCACACAGTTGGTAGACTTGGGGAAGTTGTCATTGTATGGGTCTGTGTTTCTTGGAGTCTGTATACTCAAGTCTGCAGCTGTACAGTTATGGTGTCAAATGATGTTTTCCTAGAAACAAGCTGTTATTGTTATATAATTCCATAACAAGCAGAAACTTGATATGCCATTGTTAACCTGAGACTTTAGGTGAGGTGAGATGAAATGGGGTTTTAATGTCTTGATCAAGATTATTGCATGGCTATGATGTTTGTTTGTTTAACGCCGCCATCAGCAATATTCTATCTATATGATGGCGGTCTGTAAATGCTCGAGTCTTGACCAGACAATCCAGTGATTGACATCATGAGCATCCATCTACACGATTGGGATACGAGACTCACCAAGCGAGTGAGTGATTTCTCCAATTATATACCTCAATAGTGAGGTGTTTCAACTGAACAGTTGGATTATATCATATAGATTCTAAAATGACCACTCTTAGAAAAAGTTGAACCCTCTGATCAGTGGACATCCTACAAGAAGTGGACATTGGAGACTTATGTATTGTTCCCCAGACTTGATCACATACAATGTACAGTAAATTGAGTATAGTCTGTTGAAACAAATATAAATTATCTTTTGAGCCTGGAATAATCTACTTTCATATGCATCATAATTCCTCTATATATTTCAAGTAAGGACACAGAAGAGCTGTAGAAGTAGTCAGGAATGCTAATAATATTCATCAAATGAAAACAGAAAACAAAGAATATGAATTTAGATTGTGAGAGTCATACAAAAATAAGGAAAAGAATTTTTAAATTTCATAATCATCATAAATTTCTAAATTGTGATAAACCTTTGTTCCCGTTTCATGTCCAAACTGGGGGACATGTTGGAGAACAAGAACAATCACAATTTTCTCCCCAAAACTGATCTGAAACCCTGATCTTAAATCACGACCACTAACAAATCAAATAATATTCCTGGTGTTTTTTTAATTAGGATATTAATTAGTTTATCAGTACACAATAATATAAATACTTTGATACAATAACAACCCATGAAGCCTTGCTGCTCAAGGTGTCATCTGTTAACAGTTAATGTTATGACAACCAAGTATATACGACATGGACACACGTACACATACTAATAAACACCACATGTAACACTCGCATCTACAAGACAATTTTCTCACCTGTTGAACACCTCCTCACAATATTAATGTAAAAATTATCCTATAAGATCCAGTTGCTATCAGTGGAAGCTAGCCTTGGTATAGAAGTCCGACATGTTCCTGCGTGCACTCCCCCAAACAACCCGAGACGATCACTAGTGAGTCTGTCCCACTACACCTCCACCCATTGCTTCAAGACCAGGGAAGGTTTACCATACAATCAGCTCACCAGTGTGTTGAGCGTAGCTGTACAGAGTGTGATATAGACCATATCAACACAATCACACAACCCTGGAGATAGCAGGTACCGGACACTTCTATTGTGATGCCATACATATGGTAATAAGACGCCCTAAAGTTCCGGCATTAAATGTTTGATGCATTGGCTATTGAGGGGCTGAATAGACTTGACAACCGTAACAAGGGGGTAATTCCTCATGACTGCCATAGCTCACATGTGAGAGAGTACACGCTTACCATTGTGAAGCTTGGAGTGTATTGTTATCAACCAATCAAGTTTATAGCGTCATAAAAAGTTTATAAAAAGTTTACTGATCCGAAAAAGTAAACAATGTAACATGAATGTCAGCAATGTATCATGCAAGTAATATCTTAATCAATATTATCTCGATCAATGTTGGTAGTGTGGACTGTTAGAAGCAATAACGCTTCTTGCCTTTAATGAAAATTCTTGCCTGCTTCAATATGAGCTAATCAGAAGCAGCACACAACAGAATCAATACGGAACATTGAGCCATTATTGTGCAGTATGAATGAAACATTAGGATAAATTGGTTAATAATATACAAGTGGTGATGTGAATGGCTGCTGGAATATGTTGGTTTGTTGTTTAAAGCCGCACTCAGCAATATTCCAGCTATATGACGGCGGTCTGTAAATAATCGAGTCTGGACCAGACAATCCAGTGATTGATATCATGAGCATCGATCCACCCAATTGGGATCGATGACATGCATCAACCAAGTCAGCGAGCCTGACCACCCGATCCCGTTAGTCGCCTTTTACGACAAGCATAGTCACTTTTTACGGCAAGCATGGGTTGCTGAAGACCTATTCTACCCCGGAAACTTCACGGGTCTGCCAGAATATGTACAGGAATGGACCAACCATGAGATAAGGGACCTTATGGGTGAAAAATCACATTTTGACCTTTCATTATATTGTAAAACTAGTGCATTTTCAGGGCACAAAATTACAATTCACAAGCTTCAAATCATATTTATTACATCGATACATGACATCAAACATTTGGACTCACTTTCTGACCTATAACTGCTTTTGTAGTAATTGCAGTTTTTATACATAATGTCTGATGAATTGTAAGTATATATGTATGCTGAAAGGTTTTGGAATAATGTTTTTATTACATTACAAACTAACAAGAGAAATAAAGATATTTTTCTTGCAGTCCTCACACATGGCGATCTTTACTGAAGTAAGTTGACGTCAGTGATGTCGTACAATTGTACGATAGCCCCCATAAGGTCCCTTTTCTCCTGGTGGTCACAAATGTAGATGTTGGTCAAGTCAGTTGACGCCAATGGATTCTCTTGTTTTCTACATTCTCAGGTAGGATCTGGATTTAGCTTCTTTGTGTTTCCTGCTATATTAGGAGCTCAGCGAACATGTTACACTTGATAGTTTAGTAGCTGATTAGATTCTATTTATTTGTCCATACGAATTAACTCGTCACCATAATTTCATACATTGTCATGAATTTAAAGGAAAAAACAATAACCCATTAAATATTTTATTTTTAATTGCAAAATTTGTAATTTATAAACAAATGAGAAAGAAATTAATTCCACATTTTAAACAAGTAAAGTGGGAAATAATTAAATATTTTGAAGCTACAAGATGTATTGCTTTTTCAAATTGTAAACAAGCTAAATTTTTCTCTTTTTGGTCTTCATTCCACACATTATTCAAAAACACCAAGATATGATTTAATACTACAATTTGTCTGTTATTCTGTATAGAAACCTTATATATAGATCTACCAGATGTACCAGAGAAACAAACTACTGAATGTACAACAAGGCGATTTGAATATATACCATGCTGATCTTAATGTAATATGTTCCATGTATACTTTGTATTTGAAATGATGGGAATAAAAAAGATAAAAATAAAAAAATAAAAAAATGAAGTAAGGAAAAATTTGTCTAACAAATTCACATATAGTTGTTGGTGATTTAATGCCTGTTGTTACAAGGGGGTCTGCACTGTAAACTGAACAGCTCAACATTCGCACGTGTTGGGCCAACCTACTACTGTCCTACTTCAATAAATAAATTGAAATGGTCTTGTTCAAGCTAAAGTGAGCAGATCGACAAACTGCATGATTTAAAGAAATGAGAAAATGATCAACAGATGAGGATGATTCTCTTGTGAAATTTTAAAGTTGAGTACATTTTTAAAATCAACTACATGATCCTACTCCCAATGGAGGTGTGAGGCAACAACACGTCCCCAGCAACCGTTTCCCGCTGGGAGAGGCATCAAACTGGATTGGGTGTCAGGTTCAGTGACTTGGTTGATTCTGTGTCATTTTACCCTGATGGTGTTGGATAATACTCATAATATCAAACACTGGTTTGTTTGGTCAAGAATCAATCATTTCAGATCACTGTCATATAGCTGCAATATTGTCGTGGGTTGCATTAAAAAATAACGGCAGAAAATCAAACAAACATCTTAATCTCATCATAAATACAGTCACTTACAGTACTGGTTATTACTGTGTTATAACTTAATGTGACTCCATACGTCAAAACTATGTCAAGACTAATAGTATCTCGAAACCATTACGTACCAAAATAATGAAAGTTCTTGAAAGCAAAACATAACTACACGTAGTTCTAAGAAACGGGGGGCGGTCGGGTAGCCTAGTGGTTAAAGCGTTCGCTCGCCATGCCGAAGACCCGGGTTTGATTCCCGACATGGGTACAATGTGTGAAGCCCATTTCTGGTGTCCCCCGCCGTGATATTGCTGGTATATTGCTAAAAGCGGCGTAAAACCATACTCACTCACTCACTCACTCTAAGAAACGGTTACATACAACAAGTACGAACCTATTTTTTCCAATAAATATTCCAAACATGGACCTGGTTCAGTGATACGCCCTCTGCTCAGCACAACATGGAGACATCTACATCCACTGTTGTGTTGTAATAGAAAACTATTAATTACAAGTTGGAGTTCATGAGCTTACAATCATACTATTCAAAGGTGGTTAATTTAACTAACTATGTTTTTTCCAAAGCTACATGTATGTAGAAGCTGCTGCCTGGTTTCAGTGTATCGACAGTACAATTACCAATACTCATTTAACGGTTCCTGCTTTCATCTGCACGTTATCAATACCTGTGTCTGGAATCTTAATTCCCATTGATTTGGTTCCTTCTCCTTATCAGGTCCTTTCTGTATTGGAGGAAGTTGCATGACTAGTAGCACTTATTTCCTGACAAGCACACCACACAATAAAGTAGACCGGCAGCTTTTGATGTCTCCATCAATACAAAACAAAGTACACCGCAGCATTTGATGTCTTCATCAACACAAATTAAAGCCATCCGATCTCACACAAGTCATGTTTGTTCATGTTTTGTTTGTACATAATCTATTTGGTTTATTTGGGAAAAGCAGTATATTTGAGTTTTACTGAGCGAGGGCAGGCGTGTCAACAAATCCACTAAAGGCTGTGTTTACAGTGAGACACCATTTCCTTTCCCTTGCAGTCTCTCACAGGCTCTGACCAGTGAAGATCCCGGGTAGAATAGGTCTTCAGCAACCCATGTTTGCTATAAAAGGCGATTATGTCGTAAGAGGTGACTAACAGGGTCGGGTGGTCTGACTTGCTGACTTGGTTGACGCATGCTCTGTATTCCAATTGCGTGGACAGATGCTCATCATATCAATCACTGGATTGTCTGGACTGGATTTGATTTTTTACAGACCTCCGTCATATAGCTGGAATATTGCTGAGTGCGGCATTAAACAACAAACAAACAAACAAACAAATCTCACAGGCTCCAGGTATCTGGTCTTGGTGTAGTGATTGATCCCTTGCTGTTGTACAGATAAATATGTTATATACACAGAGCTCCAGATAACTTTTTGAGCAATCAAGTTTTTACTCCAGGGTTTCTATTTTAATTGGGTTATTACACTTTTCATTGGGTAACCAATATTTTTTCACTCATCTATTTATCACTCAGTTGTTTTTTCCCCAAAATAGTGAACATTTTAAGATTTAAAAAAATGAAATAATGTTTAGATGAACACGTATATAACTGTTCTAAATACATAGGCTTGACTCGGAAAGTAAATTAGCTCGTAATTGTGTTCTGGAAATTAGCACCTTTGAATGCAAGCTGAAAAAGGTTCATTGAGTATTAACGCATGCTGTTTTTATACATTTGTGTTTTTCATTTAATGCATGCATTTCTGTATGCAAGTTAATTGAAAGTAATTGGGTTTTGAATATTTTTTGGGGGGGGGTTACGCAAATATGCAGCTTATCTGCAGCTCTGATACATATGAATGTGGACGACTAACGACTGAATCATGTCGATCCATATATAGCAGTGCTGCACCAATATGACACAGGGTGGTTGTGTTGTTTTCTTCTGTAGCAAACCAAGTATTACACTACTTGATATATTACTAACAATGTATTTTTTTATGTAAGGTTTTCTTTGTTCATTTTATTATAATGTTTATTGTTCTTGAAATAAATGTCCTATTAGACAGTTTAGAAAAGGACTTTCATTTGACACACATTTTCAAAAATCATTAAAAATTATTTAGCACTAACAATACATTCAGTCTTGGCTAATTTTTCACAGATAATAGATATGTAAAATGAAAACTTATTAAATTTTTTTGCTGTTGTAAAAGTAAGGAACATAAGAGAAAATACAAATTGTGCTAATTGTCTTCAACTCCTAACTGTACAAGCTAATAATCAAAAGACATCCTGTATTCACAAGTATTTTGGCCTTAATAATCTGTACAAAAAACCTACACAGAGAGAGAGATAGTCCTACACCATGATTGTGGAATATATATATTTTATGAAAAAAAAACACAATCTAGAAACGTATACAAAAGCAAGTCGAGTCAGCTCTAGCTAGCTCTATTCCACAGCATCGGGAAAATTATTATTACTATTTTTAGAGACAAGAAGGGTATTGTGTGATATAAGATTTCATAGATGTTAGTCTAAAAGAGAGAGTGCGCCACGCCTTACTCTGCTTTGAACAGTATTTCAGTGATATTGCAGGTTGGAAAAGTCAATAGATCTACATGTACTGTA